CCACTGGGTCCGGGACGTGAACCACAGTCGACTACGTGGGAGTCCAGCGACATAGCCATTACGCTAACTACTGGTTCCCAAGATTACCTTTTTTAAGAATTATTTTTTTAACTTTATTTTTAATTTATTTTAAGAATTATTTTTTAATTTAACTTTATTTATTTATTTATTTTTAATTTGACCAGAGGGGCAAAGTGGGAGGGATGAGAAAGTAAGATACCAGGTCTGGGACTTGAACCTCAGTGGGTCATGTGGGAGTCCAACGCCTTTACCCACCACACCACCTGCTAGCCCCTAGATTACATTTTATATTTTATTTGAACTTTTTAAATAATGATTTTATTTAACATTTTCATTAATTTATTCATTTAGAGGGACAGAGTAAGAGAGAAAGGGAAAGAAAGGGAGAAAGTAAGCCACCAGGTCTGGGACTCGAACCATAGTCATCCATGTGGGAATCTAGTTCCCTTAACCACCATGCCACCTGCCAGCCCCTATATTTCCTATTTTATATCTAATAATACAGGGTTGACCTGGTACCCCTGGTTCAACTCTCTGTGCACAGAGAGTCAGATTTCACATGGCTGACCACAGTTTGAATCCTGGTTCTGGTGGCTTGAAAAACATGCCAGGCATTTGTGCTTGTGTGTTCACAATCCTGAGGCAATGGGGAAATGAGGGGGGAAAGGATTGTGGCATGTCCATACCCCACTGGGAGGTGCTTTCTCACTCTTTCTCTCTGATGAGTGCAAGCACTCTCAAACAAAAAAATAAAAAAAATTCAGAAATATAGTGCTATATTTATTGTTTTATACAATTTTATGTCTCTTAAAAAGTGAGAAGAGAACCTCATATAGGCGTAGTGGTTAAGGCAGCAGGATCCCACATGGCTGACTGCAGTTTGAGTCCTGGACCTGGCAGCTTGAAAAACATGCTGGGCACGTGTGCATACATACCCAAAATCCTAAGAGGAGAATGGAAGAGAAGGCATTGCAGTGTGGCCATCCCTCCAGGGAGATGATTTTCCCTCCTCCTCTCTCTCCAGTGAGTGTACACCACTTTAAAGAAAAAACTAAAAAAAAAAAAAAAAAAAAACAGTGGTTGATAAGTTGAAAAGAAATCACTTAATGTAGTTTAGAATTTAGTCACTTGACCTTAGGAAACTCCTAGTTTCTCCAACATAGCTTCTTCATGTAAAAAGAAAGAGGGGTCAATAGTAGTTCCCCAGAAATATATGTAAATAAATAATAGGTGTTATCTCAAATGCCATAACCAAACTTCTTTAAACAATATCTTGCACTTTATTATAGAAAGCTATGATTCCCTCAGCTTCCATTCCAATTTCAGGCCCTTATTACTTTCTTCCTTGTCTACAATAATAAATTCCAAGCTAGTTTTTCCATATCCCTCTAAAGCCATCCTTTAGTAGGTTAGGTTATTTTTGTTTGTTTGTTTGCTCATTTCTTCCATGAGGGGAAGACACAGAACCAGCATTCCCAACTGGTCCTGGCACCGTCATCCTCTCTAGCTTCAGCCAGCCCTGGGTCATAGACAGACGTGTGCCCCGTGTGTTCAGGGAGATTGCTAGAACCTTCTCACGTGGGTCTGCCTCAAAGAGAGTCACATTTTATAGCTTCACCACTATCTGGCAATAGGTTAATCTTTTTTTCCTCTTTTTGGAGAGGTTTTTGCTATAGGGCGCGTGCGCTCACTAGACAGAGAGAGACAGAGAGATAGAAAGCGAGAAATCACCCTCCAGGGGGGATGGACATGCCACAATCCCTTCTCCTCCATTCTCCTCTCGGGATCTTGGGCACACATGCACACACGCCCAGCGTGAGTTTTAAGCCACCGGGTCTGGGATGCGAACCGCGGTCGACTACGTGGGAGTCCAGTGACATAACCATTACGCTAACTGCTGGTCCCCACAATAGGTTAATCTTAATAGAGCTTGGATTTAATGACATCATGCTCTTGCACCAAAACCTACATGGGATAAAGCAAATCTAAACTTGATTCAACTCTGAAGGTCTTAGACATTATTAGCTCAGAGTACCTCTTCTTCCTTATCCTCTGTTTCTCCTCACAGTCATCCAGCACGGAGCAATAGGGGGACATTGTGAGAAATGCATCGTTATGCAATCCCATCACTGTGCAGATAACATAAGTGTACTTAGCAAACTGCGATATTAGCCTACTACACACGTAGGCCGTATGGTTATACCTTGTATACCTGCAGGACCATCTTCATGTATGTGGTTCGATGTTGACTGAGACATCATCCAGCGCGTGACTGTACTTACATGATCTACTATGAAAAACCAGCTGCTCCCTTTTCCTGGGCCTGTTATCTCCGGTCTCTCTTCCTGAACTTGTTCCCTAGTCTTTTTCACTTCCCTTTCTACCAAAGCCCGCCCTCATCAGAAGCTGTGTTAAATGCTCCCTTCCCCGTGAAACATTGTTTGCTGTGCATGCAAACACCATGTGTGAATCCAGCTTTTATACCCTGTAGTGCTTTGATCATGGTATAACATCCGTAGATGTTTTAATGGAATGTCTATCTTGTTTAATATAAACAAGGACACATCTTTCTCTTAAATTAATAGCTTATTGAAAGCAAGTGATATAGACTTAATTTTGCCCTAAGAAATGAAGATCAATTTATAGTGTTTGGTTTCAAATACAAAAGAATGCCTGACCTAATGAAAAATTTAAAATTTCTGACAGATAACAAGATGCCTGGATCTTGTCACTCTTCTATGTGGAATCTTTTTTTAAGTACAAAGGAAATGACATTTATCACAGCCTCATTATGGAATAGTTTCTGCTCAGTTCAAAGTCATTTAATACAGCTGTGCTTAGTGAACCTCATTAAACAGGTGTATCTTTTGAAAATCTCTGTAGAATGATTTAATTATGTGACTTCACAAACCAGTGTAGGAAGTAATTGAAGTAGTTGCCAACAACCTGGAATTTTTTTGCTTAAATTCTCTTGATTTTTTCTTTCTCTACTTATAGTATGTTAGTGGTCCTCAGACTTTAATGGCATATAAATATTCAGCATTTTTATTTTTATTTAAATTATTTAAAAGCTTTTGCCATAGGGTGCATGCACTTGCTTGTGAGAGAGAGACAGTGAGAGGGAAAGAAAGAAATCACCCCTCATGGGGGATGGCCATGCTGCAATCCCTCCTCCTCTATTCTTCCCTCAGAACTTTGGGCATGCCTGGCATGATTTTCAAGCCGCCCAGTCTGGGACTTGAACCGTGATTAGTCATGTGGGAGTCCAGTGCCAAAATGACCACACCTCCTACCTGGTCCCTAGAGTTTATTTTTTCTTTCTTTTTTTTTTTTTTTATTTTGAGATTTTTGCTATAGGACGTGTATGCTCACCAAAAACACAGAAAGAGACAAAGTGAGAAAAGCACCTTCTAGAAGGGATGGCTACACTGCAGTCCCTTTTCCTCCATCCTTCTCTCAGGATTTTGGGTATACATGCACATGCACGGGGCATGATTTTCAAGCCACTGGGTCCAGGACTTGAACCGTGGTCAGCCAGGTGGGAGTCCAGGGGCTACTTTAACTACTATACCACCTGTTGGTATTTTTAAATGCATATTTTCAACCTTCTTCCTCAGAGATTATAATTCCATAA